ATATATATATATTCATTCCACAGAGGAAAAAAAATGTCTGGAGTGAGCACAGTTCCAGGAATTATGGAATTAGGAGCAGGGGAAAACATCTGTAATGGGAATACTAGTAGGGTTGCGGCAATGGGATTGGGAGAGGGGAGAACGCGCCTTTTGTACCATAGCCAGCTCTGTAAAACCTGAGCGACCATACTGCCTACTGGTAGGGTTTCCCTGAAGAGCCCAGGTCAGACCAGGATTCCGAGTGTGGGGACCCCAGAGAGGAGGAGACATTGGGGAGGCTGAGGCCCCGGGCTGTCAAGTTGAGGGAGACAGGTTAGGGGCAGCCAGTCGCCACACTGCAGTACCGCCTGGAGGGGGAGCAGAAGGGGAGTGGGTACGGTGGAGCCTCAGAGGCCCTGAAGGCCAGGCTTGGTGGGAAGGAGATGGCTCCCTGAGAGGGAGGCCGAGGAAGAGATGTGGGGCTGTGACACGGTGGGGGTGGGGCCTAGAGAGGGTGGGGCCTGGGTGGGGCTTAAGAGCGTGCGATCGTGGGTGGGGCCTAGAGGGTGAGACTGTGGGGCAGGGCTAGGAGGGTAAGGCTCTGAGAAGATAGGGCTGTGGTGGGCAGGGCTAAAGGGGCAGGGCTAAAAGAGCAGAGTAGCCCCATTTCTAGTCTGGAGCCCCAAAAGCTGGCTAGGTCAATCCTCAGCCCCACCTGCCCTGCCCTGGTGCCTCAGTTCCCTCTGCGGTGTCTCTGCATAGCACTAGAGGCACCGTTCACCTTTGTACACACAGATACCTCTACGGGAACAAACAAGGTACTCCATAAACAAAGCTCAGCTCTGGTCTCCAAGCATCAACCCAGCCTCTGCCAGCGCTGGTCTGCGACTGGACCCACCCAGGGAAAGAGAGGGTGAGGGCCCAGCCCGGGGCCTTTACCTCACGAGGTTAGCGCAGGGCCCGGGCCACCGACAGCTCTGGTACACGCGCTGGACCACGGTCTCCGAGCCGTTCTGCACCTGGCAGGACACCGTCCGCGTCACTGTGTGATGGCACCAGTGCCTGTGGAGAGAGCAGGAGTCACATCAGTGAGTCTGCTCCTGAGGACTTTGAGGTCCTGAGGACTTTGAGGCAGCAAATCCTGCGGGGACTTTCTTTTGGGTAAGGGGCCTACCGAGACCCCCTGCAGGGCCAGGGGGTGCCCACACCCCTTGGCCTCCCACCCATCATTTCTGTAACTGGTACTTCCTGTGGGATGGGTAAAGGTGATCAGCTCCTGCCTTGAAATCCTGTTCTGTCTGGGGAGGCAACAGCCAGGAGCACAGGATGACAGTTCTAGCAGATGAGAGGCACAGAGCTGTGAGACAGAGCTGGGCCAGTCCTAGACAAGGCCACCAGCTGAGCTCTGAAAGGTCCCTTAGCTGAGCAAGCGTGTGCAGCCATGGGAGGAGATAAAAGGTGGCATTAGCAGAGGAGCAGCCTGGACACCTGCAGCAGGTGAGAGACCAGTGCACAGACAGTGACCTTTGTGAAATTAGGAAAATCATGAGTTCAAGCCCAGCCTTTGTGACTTAGTGACTTAATGAGACCTAGCTGAAAATAAAAATTAAAAAATCTGGGGGTGGAACTCAGTGCAAAGGCCCTGGGTTCAATCCTAAGTACTAGCACACACACACACACACACACACACACACACACACACAATTCAAACAGCTAAGGAATTTTTGATGAGGTGAGAGTCTGCTTCCCAGGAGGCCCTGCAAAGAGACAAAGAGATGGAAAATGTGAAGAAGGTAAAGGATTTAGATGCCAGACAAGAGAAAATATTTAGCTATTATTATAGAAGGGAAATAAAAGAGAGCAAACAGAACTTCCTCAGGCATGTACTGGAGGAAGTAATGAAGAACATTTCCCAGTGCTAAAGAAAGACATGACTCCTAATTTGAAAGGCTCACTGAGTGCTATTATGATGAGATTTCAGATCAGGATGAAGAGAAAAATATTAAATGCCATAGGAAAAAAGGGTGAAAGATTACCTATAACTTTAAATTAGATTTTTATCAGCAACATCAGATTCAAGAATATAGGGACATACCTGCCTCAAAGTTCTGAGGAGGAAAACTTAGAATTCTATACCCAGCCAAACTAACTAGCAAGGACAAAGGCCAAATAAAGATTTTCAGGTGCACAAAGATTTCAGAGAGGGCCAGGGATTTAGCTCAGTGGCACCATGCCTGCCTCACAAGTGCAAGGTCCTGAGTTCAATCACCAGTACCAGAAAGAAAAAAAAAAAAAAAAGAAAATATTTGGGCTGGGGATTTAGCTCAGTGGTTCCAGTGCCTCCTTCACAAGTGCAAGGTACCAAGTTCAATTCCCGGTATAAAAAAAAATTTTTTTTCAGAGAGTTTGCCAGTCACCCTTTCTGAATTACCACAGAATTTATTGTCACAAAATAAAATAAAAGACTAGAAGGGAGATATTAAACATAAGTAGCAGTCATGGACAAAAAAATTAAGATTTAATAAGAGCTTATATCTAAAATAAAGGTGACCTTGATATGGAAGATGGCAAAAAGAGAAAGTTAAGGCAACTAAAAGTTGCAGAGATTTTTGTCTTATTTAAGGAAAGGATATGCAGTTTTAGGTGTGGTAGGAAAAGGCATGATTAAATATGTTTTGAAGCTTAAGATAAATACTAGCAAGGAAAACGTGAAACTGACAAAACCAAAACAAAAAGAAAAAAGAAAGAAAAAGTAAGACAAAGAAAACTTGATCAACCCAACAAAATGCTAGAAATGCAAGTAGCACCAAAAAAACACACTGGTTAGAAGAGAGTAAAATTGAAAAAGAAATCAACAAAGAGCAAGCAAAAATTAACGAAATGAGTTCTTTTTAAAAATAAAAATAAACTGACACAGTGGCACACTCATGTAAACCCTGCACTGAGAGAGGCTGAGGCAGGAGAATCACAAGTTCAGTCCATTCTGGGCAACTCTGTGACTTAGCAAGATTCTGTCTCTAAAAAGAATCAACAGAACACAAACAGGCTTCTGAAAAAATCTAATCAACAGCCGGGCATGGTGGCACACGCCTGTAATCCCAGCAGTCGGGAGACTGAGGCAGGAGGATCACTGTGAGTTCGAGACCAGCCTGGGCTACATAGTGAGTTCCAGTTCAGTCTCAACTACACAGTGAGACTCTGTCTCAAAAAACCAAAACAAACAAACAAAATCTAATCGACAAAGCTAAAACCATTCTTAATGAGAAACAAACAAGACATACATATAGACATAAAGCACAATTCCAGATGTTAAAATGTATATATGGATATTATATATAACCTTACATCAAAATTTTTCAAACTCCTGACAACTAGACAATTTTCTAGGACAAAACATCCTACCAATACTGGCAGAAACAAAAATACCACAGAAGAAGAGAAAAAAGTAGTTAAAAGTCTACCTACCTCCCCAAAGTCACTGGGAGAGTTCAAAACCTGCTGCTCTGTGACTTAGGCAAAATGATGTGACCTGTCTGGGCTTAAATTACACACACACACACACACACACACACACACACACACACATATATATACATATGTAATTATATATGTATATATATGGCTTAAATTACACACACACACACACACACACACACACACACACACACACACACATATATATACATATGTAATTATATATGTATATATATATATGTAATTTTATATAGATAGATAGATTTAAATCTAAGCCAGGCATAGTGGTGCCCACCTGTAATCCTAGTACTCTAGGAGGCTGAGGCAGAAGGATCACAAGTTTGAGCCCAACCTGGGAAACTCAGAATTTATCAAGACCTCAACCAAATTTTTTTTAATTTATAAAAGGAATGAAGATGTGGCTCAGTGAAGATCCTGGGATCAATAACCAGGACTGAAAAAAAAATCTACATGTCGCAGTTACAGTGAGGGCCAAATGAGCATACACAGGTTGCTCGTGGCAAGCCATGTACAGCGCTGCCTCACCTAAGGTGTCATTGCTGATTAGATGCTCAAACCCACGGTTATGAAAGTCTGACGATTGTCTTTTCTTATTTTGCAGACAGGAAAAGAACATTCAAGGTTAAGCCCATGACTCAGCCCTAACTAGAGGCTGAGCTGGGACCAGAATCCAGTGGTCCGGTTCAGGGGACCAGTAGGTCCCGCCCACCCAGGACACGAGGCGAATCCAGCCTCTTCATTACTCATGGAGACTGAGGCCCGGAAGTGGGGGACATTTCCGCAGCCTGGGCCCCTCCTGCCACTCTGCCCGGGAGCAGAGGCTCTGTGTCCAAGCCTGCACACATGTCTGAAGAGCAGAAGAGGAGTTTCTGTGAGAAGAGAGCAGACAGCTCCGCAGCTGTGCCTGCCCCAAGGGCTCAGGCCCAGAGAGACCTATGGCCATCTCTGAATCCTGCCCCGAGCTACATCTCCAGCCCTTATTTTTCATTTTGATACGGAGTCTCTCTAAATTGCTCTCACTGGAGTCGAACTTGTGACCCTCCTGTCTCAGTCGCCCAGAATGCTGGGATTACAAAGAGTGCAGGCCCGGTCTCACCTGTGATTTTTGCCCAGCCAGCCAGCCTCAGCCTCCCTGAAGGCTCCACCACTGGCCGCCAGAGGGCGTGCTGTGGACCACTGGTGTCACCCCATAGCGTGCGCGTAACAGGTACTGTTTTGCCCCTGCCGGCCTTTCCGCCTTCTCTTCGGTCAACTCACCCCCTACTACCAGTCTCCATTCGGGTCCCTTCCCCTCTTGACACCCTCTGGACTCCATGTTCCCCACCTTAGGTCCCACGGGCCAAGCACACTTCTCCTGTCTGAGCCTGCAATATTCAGGGCAACTCAGGCTCCTCGGGACAGCGAGCTCAAGGCAGGCCTCCGTGCAGAGGGACGCTGCTGGCACCTCCTCCCAAGTTCCATCCCAACCTGGGCAACTTAGTGACTTATTGAGACCCTGTCTCAAAATAAAGACTGAAAAAGGGTTGGGGATGCAGCTCAGGGTGAAAGCCTTGGTTTCAATCCCCAGTATGGAGAGGGGGCAAACTGCTAACCTGGATGACTGTCAGGCCACCACCCACAAATGGAGGGACAGAGCTGGTCCCTAGGGAGACGCTGGCAGAGGAGCCACTCTCAGCCCTGCTCGGGCTTCTCCTTCAGAGAGATGGGGCCCAGCACCCCAAGACCCATTTCATGGTTGGCAAAGCAATTTCACAAAGAGTAGTGGGCTGAACTGTGTCTCTCTCAAATGCACATTCTGAAGTCCCAACCTCCAGAACTGCATTTGGAGATTTAGTCTCTAAAGAGACAATCAAGTTAAAATGACGTAAGGGTCTACTCTGTCTGCCTGGTGCTTACAGATGAGGGAATTTGGATACAATCACATACAGAGGGAAGACACTGAAGACCCAGGTGAATAAGGAAAATACAGCCCCTGACAGAAAAGAAGCCTCTGGGATCTCCAGCCTCCAGATCAGGGAGGAAAAAGTAGGTATTTTTTCCAGTACTGGGATTGAGCCCAGGACCTTCGCATGCGGCTATATCCATAGCCCTTTCTACTTTTACCTTGAATCAGAGTCCTGCTAAATCGCTAAGTTGCCCAGGCTGAGCTCAAGTTTGAGATCCTCCTGTCTCAGTCTCCTAGAGTACTGGGAGATGTGCATCCCCCATGCCCAGCTTTAATGAGCTTTATAAAGGAAAAGGTCTGTTCAGTTTCCAGTGTGGGAGGTCAAGTTCAAGGTCAGCCCACCCATCTGGCTAGGCCTCGGGCAGGGGCAGTATATGCTGGTGGTGGGCCCACAGAGCAAAACCCTTACACCAGGAGCCAGGAAGCGGAAGCTGAGAGATAAAGGGCCTGCTGCTGTACCTTTTGAGGACCTGCTCCCAGTGACCTATGGACTTGCCACAAGGCCCTACCTCTGAAACATTCTGCCAAGTCCCAGTAGAGCCACCAAGACCAAGGCCTTTCCCATAGGGCCATGGGAGACCTGGAGCATTCCAACTCTAGGGAGCAGTTACCATGTGCTAGG